CATTAGACATTGCATGTATGTAAAAGCATTGTGCTAATTGTATACAATTTAAAGCATGCTAAACACTACATTTAAACATCTGACTGATTGTTTGAAGTGTATTCCACTCTATATGCTTAATGCATTTTACTTGTATTGTAATGCAGTTTCAAAATATAGTGTGAAAGTTCTCTTAAAGCAATAATAATTATTTAATCATTTACTCAACCTAAGTTCATTCCGAACACTGGTATTCACAACACTTTGATCTTTTTGAAGAATCTGCTTCTTTTGAGTATTTTCCTTGACATGAAAAAGCTCCATGTCAAGTCTCAAAAATGGAGATAACCACAAAAAAAACAAAATAAGTTGCTTCATATCACAGCTTTGTATGAGGAATTGACTCAAATTTAGTTAGTATACTATTTACCTTCCACTCCAGTGAGATTTGAACTGATTCACAGTCAAGAATCGGATCAGTCCCATTCCTAAACAAATCTTTCAATAATGATTTGTATTTAACTCATGACTCAGTGATTTGGAATAAGAACTTAAATTTGTATCCTCACACAAAGCTGTCACATGACTAAAATATTATGCAAAAACAATATGGATTAGACTACTGTTCAGAAATGTGTTTTTTTTTTTTAGAAAATGAAAAGGTCAATGCAGTTTCTGATCAAAAATACAGTAAAACAATAATATGATTAGAATTTAAAATAACAATTTTCTATTAATATTTTGTAAAAATGTAATTTATTCCTCTGAAGGCAAAGCTGAAATGGAAAAAAACATTTATTGTTTATAAATATATTTACTGTCATTTTTGATCAGTTTAATCCTTGCAGTATCTTATTGGCCCCGTACTTTTGAACAGTAGAGCATAGTTATGATACTTTTATTGAGCCCTTTTGTCTTTTGTGGCAAAAGTATAAGATGTGGGTACAATGTACTGTATGGAAAAGACTTGTGTGAAGACTTCAATTTGTCATTTTGTTTTGCATGGAAGACAAAAATCATACAGGTTTGGAACGACTTGGGGAGGATGAGTAAGTAATTGCATGATTTTTATATTTGTGTGAACTATCGCTTTTAGGTACTGTTTATCCAGTGCTTCATCAGCCCTTTTCATAGCCCTAAAGCGATTTGTTATTCAAAGTGATATAACCAAAACCTCCCTCTTTATTAGTTATTCAAATGCACAATACTCAGGTCTTTGTTATGATTCATCACTGAGACCTAGAGTTTGATTTATGTCTGTGTACCTCGTAAACATCTTAGAGGGCAGATTTTGGCTTGTTGAATAAAATGCAAATATTTCCTGTATAACTGAGGAAATGTGGGAGGGAGAAGGTCACGGAGAGATAGAGAGGCGGGCACATACCAATTGCCAGCACCGGCTCACAGCAAAACGGTGTCAGCAAATGTAGCAGAGATTCCGCAAATAGCTCCGGGTGGAAATGGACCTTTTGCTGTGATCTGGAGGCAGCCTTTGCTACCAGAATCCTCATCTTAACCATCATATGAAAACTTGCAAAACTGATCTCAGATCAGCCATGCTAGCTGTTCTCAATGTGTGCCAATGGCCTAAGGAGGGACCAGCCAATCTCGCATGCACATAGACGCTCATTTCTCTCGGGCCTGGCCTGAAAGGAGGTCACAGAGAGGGGGTGAAATTCAAGTGCACCATTAAAATTAGAGGGGTGCAGAGATGCATGCCGGGGTTTAAATACCCTAGGTCTTGAAGTAGGTACACACAGAAACTAATGCATTTTGAAGAGATGGAGTATATGAAATAGAGAGAGATTTTTAATTGTTAGTCTCTTATTCATATTTTATAATGCTTTGCATGCTTTTGAACAGTAAATGTACAGTCGGGTCTAAACCTCTGAGACCACACTGAAAATATGGGATTTAAATTGACAAATAATAAAATATAGTAAACAATATAAGCAACATTAATTATAAACAATAATGCATTTTTTATATTTTTATAAAATGTAAAACAAACAAGTATTAAGATTCTTACATTTATGCCAAATACCAAAACATTCTGAAATGAATTTATTAATTTATGTCGATGAGGAAAATATTGTATTAAATTCTTCAATAAATGTGAAATAGCATTTTTTACTAGTGATGTCAGACTTTTGGACTCCACTTTACACTACCATTCAAATTTTCCCCTTAATGTTTTTGTTATGTTCATCGATGCTGCATTTATTTGATCAAAAATACAGTAATATAGTTAAATATTTTTACAGTTTAAAATTTGGTAACACTTTATTTTAAGGTGTCCTTAAAATAACCCTAAACCCTAAAATAACCCTATAAACCCTAAACCAAACCCTAATCCTAACCCTACCCATATAGTACATGTAGTTCATTAATATTACTCAGTACTTAAAAGTATAATTACACTGTAACAATGATACCAAAACTTATAATGTGTAATCTAACATTTTTATTTTGATATATTTTTAAATGTAATTTGTTTATGTGATGGCAAAGCTGAATTTTCAACATTATTATCAGTTTTCACATGATCCTTCAGAAATCATTCTTATATGCTGATTTGCTCCTCAATAAACATTTCTTATTATTAACTTAATGTTTTAAACAGTTGTGCTGCTTTAATATTTTTGTGGAACTGTGATAATCTAGTTTTTCAGAATTCTTAAAAATTCAAAAGAACAGCATTTATTTGAAACAGAAATCTTTAGACATCTTTTGTTACCTTATAAATGTCTTTACTCTCACTTTTGATCAGTTTAATGCATCCTTGCTGAATGAAAGTATTAATTTCTTTA